GTCGAGGGCCATGGTCTCAGGTTCCTCCAGTTCTCTGACCAGTGATCTAGGGCTTGCTCTGTAATTTTGAGTTTGGGTCCACATTTTCTCCCTCTATCTGGGACCTTCTAACGTGATCCCTTTCAGAGCAGTTGGTCTTAAGAGCCAGCATCATCTAGTTCTTCTGGTCTCAGAGTCCTGAAGACTCTGGTAGTCACATGTTTGGAATAATTTTGATGTGTCTTATTCTAATAACTTTCTTTGACTCTCACTTGGTTGTAGATAATCATATTAATCTATGGATAAAAATAATATTGGTTCTTTTTCTATTGATTTTGCCTTTTTTCCCCTTTGCCTTATTATCTTGGTTAGAACAACATGTATAGTGGGAAACCTCATTTTGTTCCCTATTTTATTAGTAATTCTTCTATATCTATTAAATATAGTGTTTATTATCAGTTTCTGGTAAATATGCAAGCATTTTATTGTTTTAAGGAAACATTTCTTGATTTTTGGTTAACTAACTTTCCTATTAATATTTTTAAAAAATCATTTACTTACATGAACATTCATAGATTTTTTTTTCCCTCTTCAGGCCAATAATGCAAAGCATTGTATTAACCAATTTGCTAATGTTGAATCATTTTAGATTTGATCATTTACATTTTATTGAGGATTTTTTATATGCATAGTCATAAATGAATGAACGATGGTTTTAACTTTTTATGCTGTGTAAAATTTTGGCATCAGGTTTATAAAAGCCTTGTAAAAGGGACTGGGAAATGTTCCTCTTTCTGTGTTCTGAACGGAAATTAGCAAACTACAGCCCAGGGGTCTAATCTAACCCATTACCTTTTATTATAAATAAAGTTTTATGGAAACATTTATTACCTGTTTATGTATTGTCTGTGGCTGATTACATACTACAACAGCACAGCTGAGTAGGCCTGATAGAGACTAATTGGCCCACAAACCCTAAGATATTTACAATCTGAAGTTTTATAGAAGTCTGCCAGTTCTCCTCTGTTGTTTTTGTTAGGTGCCGTTGAATTGGTTCCAACTCATAGTGACCCTATGCACAACGAAACACCGTCAGTCCTGTACCATCCTCACAATTGTTATTAGCCTTGAGATAACTGCTGTTGTCACTATGCCAATTCACCTCAATGGGAGTCTTCATTTTCATTATTCTCCTCCAACACCGTAACTCAAATGCATCAATTCTTCTACAATCTTCCTTATTCACTGACCAACTTTCACATGCATAACAGTTTACTATAATTCCTCTAGAATGGCTTAAATATCACAGCATTTACCTGAATCTTGAAATTTTTAAAACTCCTCTACAAATTCATTTGTAATGTTTCCTATAATGGACGTTATTTCAATTTCCTTCTTGGGAGCTCTGGTAGCGTAGTGGTTACGAATCGGGCTGCGAACCTTAAGGTCAGTGGTTCGAAACTACCAGCCGCTCCGCGGGAGAAAGATGAGGCTTTCTATTCCCGTAAAGATCTACACCCTTGGAAACCCTGTACAGGGTCGCTATGGGTCGGACCCGACTCGATGGCACTGAACAACAACAACAACAACAACTTTTATATATTTAGGTTTCTGACAAGAACCAATCTAGCCCATTAAATTTTCCCAGAAAATCATCCATCTCACTCAGATTTCCATGTTTAATATCATACCCTTGTACAAAGCCTCTTATGGTTTTAGGAATAACTTCCTTATTTGTCATTAAATGCACTTTGGTACTTTCAATGTTGTACATATATATTTTCTCTCTCTCTTTTTTCCATCACACTAGTTGGAGATTTGTCTATTTAATTGGTCTTTCAGAGAACTAGATCTTAGATCTATTTATCGAACACAGTTTAAAAAACCTTTAACGGATCTATGACACTTTATTTTTCGTAGGTTTTGAATTTCACATATTAAATTTTTATTTTTAAGCTATTCTAAAATATATAATTCAGTGATATTAATGACATTCACAATGCTGTGTTCCTTATTTCCAGACCATTTTCATCACCTCAAACAAAAACTTCATAAACAGTAACTCTTCATTCTCCCTTCCCCTAATGTTAGGGGCAGACTAGGAACCTAACAGCCAGCACAGCTTCTGAGAAATAGAGCAGTGCCAGACCACCAAAAAAAGGTGCAAATGAAGACTATGTGTCACCTAGACCCTGACACCAATCAGAATTAAACTTGAGGGAGACGCGTCAAAAACACTATAAAAGCAGTGAAAGAGCAGAAAGCCAGCGCTCTGCCACTCACGAGAGACGCCCAATTCTCCTCTTTGAAGAAGTATACTTTTATAGCTTAATAAACACTGCTTGCTACTTGCTGCTTTTTGTTTGTGGGGACTGTTTGCACCAACCTCAAGTAGGTCTTGTTAGACCTGCAGAAGTCAAGTTATTGGACCCTAACGCCTAGCCCCTGGTAACTATGAATGTACGTTGGTCTCCATGCATTTGCCTAATCTACATATTTCATGTAAGTGGGATCACACAATATTTTCCTTCTTTTGTCTGCCTTATTTCACTCAGCATAATGTCTTCAAGATCTATTCATATCATAGCATGTATCAGAACTGTGTTTCTCTTTATGACAGAATAATATTTCATTGCATGTATATACTGTATTTTGTTTATCCATTCATCTGCCGATGGACACTTGAGTTGCTGCCACCCACCCTTCAGCAACTCAGTGGTGCTCCAATGAACAGTGGTGTACAAGTATGGTCTGTGCTCCTGTTTTTCAAGTCTTTTGGGGATATACTTAGGAGTGGCACCAAATGTAGTTTTTAAAAAATATTTTTTAACACTTTAATTTCTACTTTTATTGCTATGAATTCCTTCCTCTTTTTTTTTGGTTAATTTTATCCTTTTTCTTGCTTCCTGATTTGGCTATCTGACTTATTTATTTTCAGTTAAAGCACTAAAAGAAATTCTCTCTGTGTATGGTTTTGACATGTGCTCATTAGAAGACAGGATAGCAAGACTCTCTCATACTTCAGACATGTTATCAGGAGGGACCAGTGCCTGGAGAAGGACATTATGTTTGGTAAAGTGGAGGCTCAGCGAAAAAGAGGAAGACCCCAGCGACATGGACTGGCACAGTGGCAGCAGCATCGGGAAGAAGTGTAACAATAATGATAAGGATTGTGCAGGCCCGGGCAATGTTTCATTTTGTTATGCATAGGGTTGATATGAGTTGGAACTGACTTGATGACACCTAACAACAACAACATGGCTTTGATTTGGTCACCAATAGCGTTCTCATTACTGTGACTATATGTTTTAATTCCTATTTGTAATACTCAATTTAACCAGATTAGGAAATTATCAGTTTTTCTGTCTGATCATTGTTTCCTATGTCCAGCTCCAATCCCAAACTCAAATTATGAGTAACAGTAACAATATCAAATAGGTATAGTTTGTTGAATTCTTATGGCATATACTTTCAACCCTGGACTCTGAACCACAAGGTGGGCAGTTCAAACCCACCAGCTACTCCTCAGAAACCCTATACAAGGTCCCTATGAATCAGAATCTACTTGGCACTTAACAGTAATAACACTTCCCACCCATTATTTTCTTTCTGGGAAACTCGACTCCTGGCTGTACAATAAGCATTGGACTACGAATCACAAGGCTGACAATTCAAGCCCTCTAGCTGCTCCTCAGAAACCCTGTACTGGGGTGCTATGAGTCACAACCAACTCGGTGGCACTTAACAACAGCAACCAAACCTATAGGTAGTACAGTGATGGTTATTTTACAGACCAGAAAACAAAGGCACAAAGCATTTCAGGACCTCATACAAAGTCATGTGATCTGGTCAAGGGATCAATAGCTCTGAAGCTTGAAGCCAAATCCAGACCAACCAGTCTCCAAAGCTGCTGCTTCTTCTATACTGCTACTCTTATCTCTTAAACTTTCTGTTTATTTAGTCCTCTTAAATCCCGTGACTTTTGCTCCATATCAGCCAGGTGGTGGTGGTTGTGTGTTTTTTTTTTTTTAGCAGATTTAAGACACAGCACCACCTGTTGCTATGGAGAAGATTCAGTCTCGTAACAACCCGAATGGACAAAGTGCAACTGCTCCACAGGGCTTCCAAGGCTGTAAGTTTTATTTTTGTTTTTAACTTTTTACTGTGAATTGAGAGAAGGTTTACAGAACAGATCATCAGTGCCACATTTAATAAATTAATATTTCACTAAAAAAATAATGTCACTACTGCAATGATAGCAATCTACTCCACGTACCATCAATTAACAGGATTTACCTCTATTCGCTTTATTATTTTTTCTCCCCTCCTCCCTACCCTACACCTACACTGTAACCATCATGGAATGTTTCATTTAGCACGAAAATCTTCTCTTAACTTTTCACAATAGTGGTCTGTCTCACGTAGTATTTGTCCTTTCGTGATTAACTAATTTTACTCAGCATAATGTCCTCTAGGTCCACCCATGTTTTGAGGTGCTTTGCAACTCGTCAATGTCGTGTAATAATCCCCTGTGTTTGCTTAACAAGCCTGTAAATCTTTAGGGAAGCTTACTGCCACATCTTTCCCTGGAAGGACAGCTGGTGGGTAGGAACTGCTGACCTCTTGATTAGCAGCTGAGCTCTTAACAACAGCACCACCAGGGCTCCTTCAGAGACCCCGAGACCCTGGAGCTGGGTAACTCACAGTTCTCTCCAGCACTCTGCTGAAAAACAGAGTGGCCTCCGGATACAGGGCAGAGACTATGGAGCCCAGTGTACCGGGGTTCCCATCCTAACTGCTACTCATCAGCTAGGCTACTTAGCAAGCTACTCTTTGTGAACTTTCCAGAGGGCTGTTTTGAGACTTAAATTAATCCACGTCAAGCACTTAGCATCGTGCCTGGCTGCATAAGAGCTCAACAGAAATTATACCAAGTTCTAGAAAAGATCCAATGTCACTAGCCTCATAAGCAGAGACAAGTATAAGATGTATATAAACACAGTTTTCAAGTACACACTCACCAATATTCTTCTGGATTTCTATGACAAAATGTTTCTCTGGATTCTGGCAGCTAAAGTCAAAGATTGCTCTCTCTCCAGACTTGATGGTCAACGTGGATTGGTATTTTTTTGAAGAGACAATATAACAGGCCTTCACTGGCAGGGTTGGGATCCCGGGCTTTATGGAAACTACAGTGCCACTTCCAGGTGGTACAGCAATATCAAAAGCATCTGCAGAAAGGAAGAGGAATGAAGTGAGCAGGCTAATTTAGGTCTCCCAATCCGATGTAGTTCCCACCTCCACTAGCCCAGGACAATGCCTCTAGATGGTCCCATCTTCCTTCCCGCTTGGCTGAGAAGGGAGATGTTGTCAAATGACAGATAAGTCACATCTCCTCTCACCAATGGGAAGGGCTGGGCCATTGCTGGCTTGGCAAAGTTCAATTCTCCTTTGGCTTTATCAACTTTTCTAAAAATGCGAAACTCTACACCACCTTTCGGAGTCTTAGTGTGGCATTGCAAGGTAAGCACTAGACCAAAAGGTCAGTATGCAAACTCACCAACCGCTCCTCAGAAACCCTAGACAGGGTCGCTATGGGTTGGAAACGACTTGATGACACTTAATAACAACAACACACCACCTTTTAGGCAGTACATTTTCAGAGATTCCATTTGTAGGGTATTAAAATAATGACCCGAGAAACTGCTCCTCTGCTCATTCAGGTGCAGGAGAAAAGTCTACAGACACAAGCCATCCATCTGAGGAGCGGCACCCTTAAATGCAAATAGCCGCTGTTTCCCACCCAGGACACTTTGGAAGCCCAGCACATAGATGTGGAGTGGCTGAGAAAACATTTGCAAATATTAGTTCTTTATTAGATCTAAACATAGGACGTTGAGGAAGTTGGAAAAAAACGTTTGAGTAAAACAACGCTGATACCTGAGACTGGTGTTCAGAAAAATACCATCTGAACAATGACAAGCAAGTGAGAAGGGAGTTGGTTATTAACAAAGGGGCCAGGGTCCCTGGGAGGCACAAATGGTTTGTGTTGAGCTACTAGCAGAAAGGCTACTGTTTCAAGTCCACCTGGCAATGTTGTGGAAAAAAGGTCTGGTGATCTACTTCTGTTATGATTAACTAGTGCCTCTGCTACACCATGTTCTGGCACAAACGATGGTTGGCACTTGCTATGGCATCTGCACATAGAAAACCTGCTGCCATCAAGCTGATTCGGAGTCCTGCAGGACAGACGAGAACTGCTCCACAGGGTTTCCAAGGCTGTAATCTTTATAGAAGCAAGCTGCCTCGTCTGTCTCCCATGGAGTGTCTGGTGGGTTGAAACTACCAATCTTTTGGCTAGCAGCTAAGCACTTATCCACTGCATCATCAGTTGGTTCTTCATTAGCACATAGAAGACGCTTAACAAATGCTTGGCAAAAGAATGAATGGATAGCAATCTATTCTGTCCAGCCTTTATTTTATGGCTAGCAATCGTTACTTTCCAGCTATGCCTTTAAAAAAATTTTTTATCTTTAAAATCAATTTTATCGTGGTATAATTTACATACAATAAAAGGAATCCACCTATTTTAAGAACTTTGATAAGTATCTAGGCCATGTGAACACCACCACCACAATCAGGATATAAAAACACTTCAGTCATTCCTCCACACTCCCTGCGCCCCTTTGCACCAACTTCTATCTCCATTGCTGGTTCCAGAAAACTACCAGATAGTTTTGCTTGACCCAGACCTTCACATGAATAGAATTGTATAGTAAGTTCTCTTCTGCTCAGGAGAATGTCTGTGAGATTCACCCACATTTTTCTATGGAGCAGTGGCTTGTCCTTTTTCATGGCTGAGTAGTATTTCATTGTCTAAATAGACAACAGTTTGTTTATCCATGAACATATAGAGTAATGTTTGAATTATTTATTTTACACTAGCCTTAGTATAGCACTGTAGGATAAGCACTGGATTGCTAACCACAAGGTTGATGGTTTAAACCCATCAATTGCTCCCTGGAAACCTATACAGTGTTGCTCTGAGTTAGAACTGACTTTATTGTATATAACAACAAGAATATGCAACCTTCAGTATGGATTATACTGCAAGACAGAAACAAAAACAAACCCCTCACATCGGGATCAATAAGTAACAACATGATAAATAGAGAAAACACTGAAGTTGGCAAATGTTTCATTTTACTTGGGCCCACAATCAAGACCATGGAATCCAGTCAAGAAATCAAATAACATTGCACTGAGAAAATCTACTAAAAAAAACCTCTTTAAAGCATTAAAAAGCAAACATGTCCCTTTGAATACTGAAGCATAGCCCAGCCCAAGTATTTTCAGTCTCCTCATATCCTCACAAAAACTCAATAATAAGGAAGAGTGAAGATATGATGGTGGTGGTGGGGTTATGCCGTGGAGTCAGTTCCGACTCATAGCAACCCTGTACAGGGTTTCCGAGGCTGTAAATCTTTACAGGAGCAGAAAGTCTCATCTTTCTCCCGTGGAACAGCTGGTAGTTTCGAACTGCTGACCTTGAGGTTCACAACCCGATTCGTAACCACTACGCTACCAGAGCTCCTCTGACTTATGGTGTAGGCAAAGAAAATTAAACATATCATGGACTACCAGAAAAACTCTGGTAGCATAGAAATTATGAGTCGGGCTGCCAACCTCAAGGTCAGCAGTTCGAAACTACCAGCGGTTCCACGGGAGAAAGATGAGGCGTTCTGCTCCTGTAAAGATTCACAGCCTCGGAAACCCTGTGCAGGGTCATTATGAGTCGGAACCGACTCCATGGTACTTAACAACCACCACCAGAAGAACAAACAAATCTGTCTTGGAGAATTACAGCCAGAAGGCTCCTTAGAAGCAATGAAGAAGAAACTTTCTTTGGACACATTGTCAGGAGGGACCAGGCTCTGGAGAAGGACAGCATGCTTGGAAAAGTAGGGTGTCAGCAAAAAAAGAGGAGAACCCTAAATGAAATGGAACGATACAATGAATGGCAACAACAATGGGCTCAAACCTAGAAACAGCTGTGAGGATGGCGCAGAAGCGGGTGATTTGTTCTGTGTACACAGGGCCACTATGAATGGGAACCTATTCAACAGCACCCCACAAAAACACGTTTTCATTGTACCAGGTCTGCTAGCCTGCCTGAGAGCTGAGTAGCATTTCTCCTTTCCCGGGCTGTGAATGAGCCTGCCCGTGTATCCACAGCCTCGGCAGCCAGGCACAATCCAAGGTTTGAATTGTTGTCTACCTGTTCTAGCACATTCTTTCTCCTTGTTCACTCTGCTCCAGCCCCATTGGCCAGTAGCTTTTTAGTAGAAATTGACCCTTCACCTATGATATGGACTGCAAATATTTCTCCCAGTTTATCATTTGCCTTTTGATCTCACTTAGAATGTTTTCCCCTGGTAAGAACTTTAATCTCTTTTGGCCTCTGTTCCTTCATTTGTAAGGTGAGAGGGCTGAGCTAGAGTAACTCTAAATTCCTTGCCAGCTCTGAGTCTGGGGTCAGTGCCCATGTAAGTAGGAAGCAACTATGCTACTAGAGCATCCTGGGATACTGCCCATGACAATTTCTCACAGGACCAGGGCACCCACATGGCTGCCTTGTGGCTTAAGACGACTTAGGTTTTCATTTGGGGAACAAATCTTCTGATCTCTCCAACTTCAGCTACCCCAGTCTGCCTTATCCTGGCTTCTTTCTGGAGTATGCCAACCTCTTTCCTACCTCAGACCCTTTGCACTCACTGGCAAATTTCTACAATCCTTTCTCTGAGTCTTCCGTTTTTTCCAGTCTCAGTCCAAAGTTCACCTCCCTGAATGGCCTCCCAGACCAGCCACCCAAGTGCTCCTCTTACCCCAGTCATCCTCTGCCTGTCACCCTGTCATCCCGCTGTAGTCTCTGATGGATGATACAGCGTTATTTGTTCACTTTCTGCATCCTGCCATTATAATGCAAGGTTCTACAGGCGTCTAGCTAGGGCTTGCCCATTTTGTTCAGTGGTAGCCTCAGTGCCTGGTCTCCATGTGGATGCAAAAAGCTGTAAGGCCCTGGTATTTCCACATGTACACATGTGGGTTAGTGGCACAGTTCTCGCCTGTCATGTAAGAGGCATGGAGTAGATCCCTGGCCAGTGCATCTCATGCACAGCCAGCACCATTCTGTCAGAGGAGGACTGCATGTTGCCATGATGCTGCTGATTAGGTTCTAACAAAGCTTCCAGACTAAAGCAGACTAGGAAGAAAGGCCTGGCAATCTGCTTTGGAAAATTGGGCAGTAAGAACCCTGTAATCACACTGATCTGATCCACAACAAATCATGGGGATGGCTCAGGACCAAGCAACGTTTCTTTCCATTGGGCATGGGGTCACAGTGAGTTTGGAGCCGACTCGATTGCACCCAACAACAACATCTCCAGACAAAACCAGGATTGCCATGTTGTTGCCCTTGCTGCAGCTGGCTTCTAATTTTGTTGTTGTTAAGTGCTGTCAAGTCGATTCTGACCCATAGTGAACCTGTACAGGGTTTCCAAGGAGCAGCTGGTGAGCATGAACCACCAACCTTGCAGTTCAAATGACTGCAGTCTGACGCATTAGTCCACAGCACCACACCAGGACTCCTATAGATACCCTGTATTTCAGTTTGGGCTAAGAAATCATGGCAGGAACCAGCCTTTTAATGAACAATTTCAGAGAGAAAAACCATTCTCTGAGATGGAAGCTTATTTACTGGGATGCTCTATCCTTAGGCAGTTTGGCCATTTAGAATCTTCTGAGATAAATCTGAAGGTGTAGAAGTTAAGACATCAGATTAAAAATAAATCTGAATTCACAGCAGAAACCCAGTGGTCAGGTTTATACTCGCTGTGTAGTAAAACCCGTCTTGTGTTTCTGTAATCATAAGAACGTCTTACTTACCCTGTTATTTGTAGAAAATTCTGAGAGCACCCAGTTTCCAAAGTTCTGGTTCCTCTCGTGGGGTCTCTAACTCCCTCTTACAAAAACGGGAACCCACTGTCAATTCCAACTAATAGCAACCCTACAGGACAGAGTAGAACTGCTCCATAGATTTCTGAGGCTGTAAATCTTGACGGGAGTAGACAGCCTCACCTTTCTCCTGCTGAGCAGCTGGGGGATTTGAACTGCTGACCTGGTGGTTGGCAGCTCAACACTTAACCCACTGCACTACCAGGGTTCCTTTTCTTGATCCCCAGTTGATGCTAATTCACTGCTGTGTGAAGTTGTATTTTGTCTCCAGCTGCCACTCCCATGTCAACTGCATACCAATTTCTTTCACTACCTTATTTCTTGTTCTGTGTGCTTGTTCATGCTTTGGACAAAGTATTCTTTTTTAAATTCTTGATTCTGAAGACTTGACTCTTAGCCAAACGGTTGGCCATACAAATCCACCCAGAGGCACCTACCTCAGTGGAAAGGTCCATCAATCAATCTACTTCCAAAAGGTCACAACCGTGAAAATCCTACACAGCACTTAGAGCTATTCTGCACGTATAGGGTCGCCATGAGTCAAAATCGGCCACAACTAACAAGAAAATCTTTTTTTTCTTTTAATTAAGTGTTAGACTATAGTGACACTAAGCAGCTCAGTGTCTGCTTGGGGTTGGAGAGCTGGAGAGGAAGCAGGAAAGGAGATGGACGGTAAAGAGCTACAAGGAAGCTGCTCTGTATCTTATTATGAGAGTGATTACACAACTGTATTCTAACTCCAACATTCATCAAAGAGTACACTTAAAGCTGGTGATGTGTGTTATACGTGAGTCACCCCAATAAACAAACAAACAGAAAACACAGAACCTACGTGGTAGAAAGACAAAGTTGGCATTTAAATGCACCCAAGAATAATCATGACCACAGTGAACACACATGGCTGAATAATATTATCGGATAGGCTTCCTTTCTCTCATGGAAGGTGTACTATTTTCAAATATCTTTAAATTAAATTCTGGGAAGAGCAAAGCTGAGCTCACCAAAATCTCTCCTGCTTTCAGCCAGGGCAGGTATTTCTAATAATCCTGGATACGTGACAATCAAAAACGTATCATCTCTTTTAGAAATGTAACCTTTTTTTCTTTTTTGTTTAGATCTTTAAAATCATGTATTCATGTAACAAACTCGTTCTGGGGTTTGTATTATGCTCCAGAAACCACCCTTAGTGTAAAGACTATAACAAGAACAGCCAGAGTGCTTGCCCTCAGGGTGCTGACAATCTAATCTGTTGTTGTTGTTAAATGCTGTCCAGTTGGTTCAGACTCATAGAGACCCAGCATAGGGTCTCCAAGGAGCAGCTGGTGAGCTGGAACTGCTGACCATGCGGTTCAAACCGGCCTTGCAATCCGGTGCATTATCCTATAGCATCACAGAGGTTTCCAAATGATCACTTGTTGTTGTGAAGTGCCGTCGAGTTGGTTCTGACCCACAGTGACCTTGTATAGAGTTTCCGAGGAGCAGCTGGTAAGCTTGAACCACTAACTGTGCGGTCCAAACTGACTGTAGTGAGCTTTTAAAAATTATGAGTCTCAAGTCTCAGTTAGCCTTGGCTAAGCTCTGGGAATTGGAGTGGAAACATCTGGTATTAGAGATAGTCACTTTTATTTTCTCTTCCTATAGAGAGCCATAGCCCCATCTCTAATCACTGAATAGTTTCATATTTCCTTCATGATTTACTAGCACCATCTCTATTTTTTATACCATAACCCAAATGATCATCCAAACTCATTCTGCAGTGAAGGAAAGCGTAGCCTTCTAAGGATCTAAATGATTCATTCCAGGTTAGACTTTTAGCACCCTATCATAGAGTCCTGGTATGGTGCTGGGGGTTAATGCACCACACTGCAAAGCTGTTTGAACTGCAAGGTTAGCAGTTCAAGCTCACCAGCTGCTCCTTGGAAACCCTATACAGTGTAGCTTTGGGTTGGAACCGACTTGATGGCACTTAACCACAACAACATGTGTCTTTACTCTGACCTCGAGATGGTCATCCTAGCATGCTCTACTCTCCTATATATGCTGACCAGAGAGTCGGGGCCTGAGGAATCCTCACCTGACTACCCGGCTCACAGCCCAGAGGAAACAAAAAGCTAAAACATGTGTTCAGTAAAACCAAGTATTGCTCCCTGTGTAGCAGGAGGCCCATAACCTACATGGTAGGCCGCTGGGGTCAGTTACAGCCAAGGACATGTCACCCACATAACTGACCTAGTCAAGGCCCCTTCATTCTAAATGATAAATGTTATCAGCTGGAAGGTGAAAGCAGGGCTAGGAAGATGAAGGTGCAAGCCTGCACATACTTAGTATGTGATTTCCCCGCTACTGCCACCAATTCCCGCTCTAAACGCACTTGTCTCCCACCCACCTGCAGTTTGTTATACTGTACTGGCTTTCATGTTGCTGTGATGCGGGCAGCTACGCCATCAGTATTTCAAAGTCGAGTTTACAGACTAAGTCTAGAAAGAAAGGTCTGGCAATCTAGTTCCAAAAATTAGCCAATAAAAACCTTATGGGGCACAAAAGAATGTTGTCTGAATTGTTTGCTTTGGGGACATGCCATCAGGCGGGATCCATTGCTGGAAGAGTACACTGTGTTTAGTGAAGCAGACCATCAGAGAAGGCAAGGGAGACCTTCAGTGAGATGATCAGCACAAAGGCCACACTGATGAACTCTGATCTGGAAAGAATGATGCAGGTCTGGGCAACATTTGGTTCTGTTGCACAGTGACCATCACATCTGCCCACCCACCCATCCACCCACCAATACATCCACCTACTCACCCACCCACCCACTCACCCACCCACCCATCCATCCATCCATCCACCCATCCACCCATCCATCCCTTTATCCACTTATCAGCACTGATTTTATTTAAGGAACCCTGGTGTGACACTGTAGGATAAGCACTGGACTGCTAACTGTACAGTTAGAAGTTCAAACTCACCTCCTCACAAACTCCTTACAGGGTCACTGAGTCAGAACTGACTCAACATCACTTAAGAACAACATTTCATTGTAGGAGCCCTAATGGTGCAGAGGGTTAATCATTGGACTATTAACTGAAAAACCAGTGGTTCAAGCCCACCAGCTGCTCTTGCAGGTGAAAGATGCAGCAGTCTGGTCCCGTCAAAATGCACTGTCTTGGAAACCCTATGGAGCAGTTCTACTCTGTTCTATAAGCTGCTCTGAGTCAGATGGCAGGGGTTTGTTTTTTATTTCATTGTAATAAAAGTAGCATAGAGATTTCACTCCTGGAGCAAAATAATTTGTAAGCTCATTTTATTCCAAATGCTTAAAACTGGAGAACATTTTGCTTGCTCGGTTTTTTCCTCTTCTCCACTCACCACCATACATGAGACCTTGCAACTGGAAACACCAACTCTATGGAATATCATCTCAGCAATCGCTCCCCTCCCCCAACCCAGCTTGGCACATCTGAGCACTTGACAAACGGACTGTAATTTATAGAAAATGGATGGGGCGTTTTCTTTTTCAACACTCCTTTCTTCTGTTTCCCTCGGAACTTGGTATTTCATTGGTCTAATGTTTCAGAAGATTTACTACTGTCCCAGTTCACAGAAATGCAGACAA